AAAAAAAAAAAAAAAAAAAAAAAGTTGCAATGAATGATTGCTTAGTAATTGTTTATTTGCAAAAGCGGCGTTGCATACATGTGCAAATATTTATGTCTACACAAATTTATCACAACGAACACTGATGATTCTTTAAATGTTAAGTAGAAATTGTTTTTAGTAAAAAAAAAATAAAAAAAAAGTTCTCTCTTATAATATAGGGATATAATATTCCCTTGGCCAGTTGGTACATAGTGGATCTGTGTACCACATAAATTGAGCTGTTTTGTTCGTGTAGACCTGGAGTGGGAAATGACCTATTTTGATGAAAATGTAAGTTGAAGTGGCTCATCAGGATGTATTTTCTACCTTGCACATGGAAAGAAAAGCGTCTTTTTTTTTTTTTTGTTTCTTTTTTGCAATGGTTTAGAACGGGATATTGGAGGAGTGGCCACGGTTAGCAATCACGACAAATTAGGCAACAGCGAAACTGTGCACTTGCTTTCCTTTTCCAGTTGCGCCTCCTCCGCGTATAACACCTATTACCCACAGTATCGGCACAAAATATGAAGGAAGGAACCATTTGAGCCCATTGCCATGGTAATGCGTGTACGGTGCGCGCAGGTGGGATGGACGAAGTGATAACCCTCTGCTGCCACACACATGAGTCAAAGCTCTATTTGTTTGTATACGAAAAAAAAAAAAAGAACGCAACTCCTGAGTTGCATGGAACGTCCTGCAGTTACACGGAAAATTATGAAGATATGGGGGGGAAGGAGGAGGCACAAATATACGACATTGAATGCATGGCAAGTATGCTAATGGGCGGCAATCAATATGGAGGAAAAACAATGAACGCCATGTATTGTGCCATACATCGCGGATGACACATTTTTTTGGGGTTATCTTTTGTACGTTTTACGCATTTTCATATTGTATACGCAATTTTTAATACGACGGGACATCCTGAATTATATTTTTGTTGCTGCGGAAACTAAACTCTGTTTTTCTGTTCAGCCCTAGAGGGAAAGAGAAGCCCACAGGGCATTTTATACGCACCGAATACTGCATATACCTTCCCGCAAGGCCAAATAATATGCACCAATTTTTTTTTTTACAAGAAAAAAAAAAAAAATTCCATATGATGATGAGATAATACAGCATACGATAGCAGCATATATATGTATGTAACCCATCCCTTGTTACGTCAAAATTGAACAAATGGAAAAAAAGGAAAAAAAAAAAAAAAATCGCAGAAATAATTACATTATATCATTACCTCTCCACCACCACCCCACCTGCTGAATGCATATTTGTAAAGGAAAACGATCGAGTGATCAGTTTTCCAGGTTAGAAAAAAAAATGTCCCGTTATCGCGTTAACAAAGGATAACATGCGCCATTCTGAGGATGCCAAAAAAAAAAGAAAAAAAAGAAAAAAAAGCAAAAGAAAAAAAAAGATACACCCAAATGATGAAAAGAACTTAACAAATTGGATCATCCTGTATTTTACTGGAACCATTTCTCAACCAACGCATACGTAGGGTGTTGGCGAGAGAGGAGTTTAGCAGCCTAGCAAGCATTTGTGTGGAAGGAGAAAAACGGAGTAGCATACATTAAACTTCATTACCCCTCGTACACCCCTCCTTGTCGCTCAGTAGAGAACGAACAAACAAGCCCATTCCAAGCCGCCTTCTGATCATCGTTCCTAATTGCTTCCTTACAATACGGAAGAGTTTTTTCTGTTATTGCCGCCCCCACCTACCCCCGCGCGATGCATCCTTTGCATACTTCTTAACTGATCAATTTAGTCGTTTTTTCCCCCCCATTGCGAAATAACAGAAGACCGCCCATTTAGCCATCCCAACGTTGAAAAATAAATGAAACAAAATCGCGGAAGGGCACATTCCGCACATGTGTGTCTGTATCTCGTCTTGCGCAAAAAGTGAATGCACTTTGACCCCAAGTCCCCTTTTTTTTTTGTGTGTGAGTGCCTTAGGGGTCGCCTCCTCCAGTACAGCGCGCCTCGCGAGCACCACTCTTGTGTTGACACGGCTTTTTAAAACTGTGCTACAAGCGACCAGGGGGAAAAATGCTCAAGCCATTAGGTATCAAAGACAAAATTCAAAGGAACCTACTAAAAGATTCAAAGTATGATGATGAAAAATCCGTTGTAAATCCACATGAAGGAGATAAGGCCAGCATCCTACAGGAGACCAGAGTGTTCTCCAGCTACCCCCTCAACACACAAAAGTGCATGCAAATTTTAACAAAAATTTTGTACCTCATAAATAAAGGGGAAGAAAAATTAACCTCACAAGAATGCACAGATATTTTTTTTAACATCACTAAATTATTCCAGTCCAATAATGAAAGACTACGAAGGATGGTTTATTTACTTATAAAAAGTTTACCAGTCAATGAGAAGGAAGTTTTTATTGTCACAAGTTCCTTAACGAAAGATATGAACTCAGCTAACGATTGCTATAGAGCAAATGCCATACGAGTCTTAAGTAAAATAATTGATAATTCTATGGCTACTCAAATTGAACGTTACTTAAAAACAGCCATAGTGGATAAAAACCCTTTCGTCTCTTGTTCTTCCCTCCTATGTGGACTGAATCTTTATTTAAACGCATCCTGTGATATAGCGAAGAAATGGATTCATGAAGTGACTGAATGTATTAACAGCAAAAATCCTATGATTCAATTTCACGCCTTAACCTTGTTGTGCTCAATTAAGTATCAGGATAAACTAGCCTTAGAAAAAATTATTTCATCTTACAGCAAAAGTTCTAGTCATTTATCTGGTGCCCTTGCAAACTGCCTCTTAATCAAATATGCTTCTTGCCTAATTTACTGCACCGAAGTGGATAGCGAATTAGGCAATACAAAGCACCTTACCCCCGGGACCACTTCTCCTCCACAAGGTACTACCCAATTTGGCAACCCCCTTACCAATTCTTTCCCTTCCACACAGCCAAATAGATCTGCAGGAAGAACACATGATATGTACAACATACAAGATTATGCAACAAATAAAAATAATTTTATCCACCCAACGACAAAAGTCTGTTTTGATTATTTGAAAAATTGCCTCAAAAGTAAAGACCCCATGGTTCTTTTTGAATGCATTAAATGCATATTTGAGCTAGCCATTTACGACAAAACAGCGAGAAATTCCACCACCGTATTTAACGTAGATATACTAAATGAATGTATGAAGGTGTGTCAAGTATTCTTATTATCTTCCAAAGTAATCGATAAATTTAGCATCATCAGACAAATAAATAAACTGTCTCATCACAGACCTCATGTCGCATCTAAGATCAATCAAGACATAGAAAATCTCCTAACTGATAATAACAAAAGTATTTGTGTCTTGGCATTCACAACTTTATTAAAAACTGGAAATGAAGCTAACATTGATCGACTCCTTAGTCAAATTAATAATTACATGACTGGAGATAACAGTTTTTTTAAAGTACAAATTATTGAAGAATTAAAAAACTTATGCTTTATCTACCCTTCCAAATGTAACATTATTCTTAATTTCCTCTCGAACAATCTCAGAGATGAAGAATCTTATCAATTCAAATCAAAAACAATAGATGCAATTATTTTAATTATTAGTAAAATCCCCAATTCGGAAGAAACAGCCATCCTTCAACTTTGTGAATTTATTGAAGATTGTGAATATAATTCACTCCTCCTCAGAGTTATAAGATTCCTTCTAGTCCACATACCAAAAACGTCCACCCCATCAAAGTATATTAGATACATATACAATAGGTTAATTTTAGAAAATTCTACAATACGGGTCGATGGCCTATATGCTCTCTTTCACATTGCCTTAAAATGTGGAACAAACACCAAAGATATATTATTCCTTTTAAATTGTCTTTTGGCTGATAATGATGATGAAGTTAGGGATCGTTCCAATTTCTTATATCACATTTTAAAAGAAAAAATAAACAAAATGGATATGCAGGGGGAAAATTCCTCTAACGACTTACCCCTCATTGATGAACTTCTAACAAATGAGACACCCACACATATGGAAAATCTTCTTTACTTAATACAAAAACATGTAGAGGATAATGTCGCGGAAGAATTTGACTACAACAGTGCCAAGGAAGAAATACAAAAAATGGGTGACAAAACTTTCAAAGATGTACTAGTAGCAAATGCATCTTCCTCTACTTTGCCCCCCAACCTGAAATGGAAAAGTTCAAATGCAGATGTGTATGGTGGATGCATGAATGGAACAAAATTACCTGAACAAAATATAGAGTCCATTTTATCAGAAGAGGTGAACAACCTTGTAGAAAATTACCAAATAGGTTTACTCAAAATGGTAGGCAAGTCCGTACCACTAACGGAAAGTGAAGCTGAATACACCGTCCTGGTCAAGAAATACATTTACGACCACAACATATTACTCGAATTTATAATACAAAACACTTTAGCAGAACAAATCCTAGCAGATGTAAATATGCAAATAAACTCCTTTGATAAAAAATGGACCATTTTGGAAAAAACAAATATTCCTAATTTATTTTTTAATGAACCCCAAAATTTATATGTCCTCTTGGGAAAAAATACACCCCTATTGGATGAAACACCCACCACTGCAGACTACCAGGTCAACCAACACTTTCAACTCTCTCTTCACTTCCTCACCAAAGAAAATGAAATGGACAATGGGTTCCCGGACTCCTACTCCATTAACCCCTTGAGCATACAAATTACCGACTTCATGTCCCCAAGAATATTGAGAAATGGAGAATTCAAACATGTGTGGGATAGCATGGAAAATCTAAACTCAGAAGCTGTGAGCAAATTTAGCCTCAATTTTGAAAGTATTCAACTAGCTGTTGTAGGATTACTAAATACTTTAAATATGATGGCTTGTGATCAGACAGATAGTGTGGAGGCAAACAGCAACAGCCACAACATGCTCCTCTCCGCTAGATATATGAACGAATCTCATGTCCTGTGCAAGGCGTCCCTCATTCTGTCGCAGCAGTACGGATGCTTGTTGAAAATCGTGTGCCGATCCCGCGACAAGCAACTCTCCGAAATGCTCCTCAAGTCGCTCGAGTAGGCCCCCTCCACGCGCACACACCGCACGCGCGTACATACATACATATCGAGGGACGTCTCCTCCCAATTTGTTGTAAATGTTAAATTTGTTCTATTCATCCTTTTTAAAGTGTATGAATATTATTGAATTTTTTTTTTTCCCCCCCTTTTTTTTGCATGTATCCTAACTTGTGGTAGATTTCGAACCTGGGTAGTCCCACCGATGGGGGGTACTAAAATGATTGATTGAAAAAGTCTCACCACGGACTGTTGATATGACCGAATGATGACAAACCCTCCTAGTGAGTACCATCATAAAAAAATTTTCACTCGACTTCCAAGAATTAATTCCTGTTCTCATGCGTTTCTATCTGTACCATATATATAAAGCAGCCCATTTTTGTCCTAGCAAACCATGTGTGTGTAGGGAGTGCTAGGATGGACGTCTTCTCCTCTCATAGGCCTCAAATAAAAGGGCAAACTAAGGCCTTACTAAGAGTAAACATACCCTTATACTAATATATCATGCCTTTGCCCTCCCTTGTCTCAACCAAAAAACAGGCAAACACGACCGTTTGCAATTATTTGTACAGGACAAGTTCAAGTTAATCAAACCACATACCATGATATACGTATAGACACATGCACACACACACATGTGTGTGTGTGGAGGCAGAATTAGGATGCTTCCTTTTACTTTCCGTTTTGTCCTCCCCTGCCCTAACCGTTTTGTCACAAATTAACGTGCCAAGCGAATTCTGGTTCTCCCTTTTTGGGGGTGCACACACCAATGGGTCATATATTTTTTAAATGGAAAATTGGGCCTCCAAAATAAATGTTGTAGAAATTGTGAACATGAGTGAGGGTAACATTTACTTCACCTTTGGTGCCCAAGGGAGCACATTAAAAAAAAAAAAAAAAAAAAGCAGATCATCATAAGTGTACATATGTACACGTGCACACATGAGTGCACATGCTGCACCAGTTAAGCTACTCGACATACTTATTCATTGAACACGATGAAGGACAATGCAACAGATGGCGTCCCTTCTTTCATGGGTATGACCCCATAGAGACGACAACATGCATGTCGATGCACACGGGACTTAGCCCCTCGGTACGCGTTCAAGGTCGCATCGCAGCACGCGAAAGAGCTCCTTTGATTTTGTAGAACTATCCTTTGCTCCACAACCAAAGTGACTACCGATAACAGTGCCAACGAGGCTGAGACTACTCTTTCCTCACTTGGCCAAGTTGCAATTATTTTCAAAAAAAAAAAAAAAAAAAAAAAAAAAAAAAAAAAA